CTACCATTCAAGATCTGTTAATACACAGAGAAAAAATAAACATGGTCTGGTGCAGAAAACCATAATCATGTTCAATCAGAATAAAACAGACGCCTTTCCATCATCTTTATCAAATTATCGTAAAAAGTATGGAGGATCGACGGGGGATAAAATCAGAGTTATATTGTTTAGCACTAGATGACTTCTCGTGTTGCATGTTTCACTCAACAGCTGTAGTACATCCATATTGATTCCTGTATTATCGCTTTATCTAAACATGGAAACAAGTATCGGAGGGTAATTAATAAATTATTGGCTTTTAGTTATTAACCATTAGCATAAACTATAATGTCAGTTTGCGGTTCAGTGAATATGGCACTGGCTCGGTGAGTATGGCACTGGCTCATTGAGTATGACACTGGCTCGGTGAGTATGACACTGGCTCGGTGAGTATGGCACTGGCTCAGTAACCAGGAGGTTCTGGGATCGATTCTGATGTTGGCAAAGAGAGTTCATCAGGATTTTCCAGCCTGGTTTCACCTTGCCAGATGTACAGAGTTAGCATAAAGTATTATGTCTGTTTATGAACTACTGTGGCGCAGTAAGTAAGGTGCTGGATCACTAAGTAGGAGGTCCCAGGACCCAACTTGATGTTGGCTGAACATGGTTTCCCCCTTTTTAGATGTATGGGATGTCCTCTGGGTTTATTGAAATAAAATTGAACCATGTTCGTCCCAACATGTCTTAGTCTGTGTGAGTCTCTCTCTCTCTCTCTCTCTCTCTCTCTCTCTCTCTCTGTCTCTCTTTCTCTCTCTCTCACAAACACACCCCCACACACCCACCCACACACACACACACATCATGTCCTTGAGATGTGACTGACCGTTTTGTTTTTATCCTATAAAGACTCTCAGAATGACATTTCTTAAATGTTATTTTTGGTTATATTATAAATTAATAAAAAATAATTAATTAAAATAGTTCTTAGTTTGGAGAAAGAGTTTATCATAAATTAATAAAAAATAATTAATTAAAATAGTTCTTCTTTTGGAGAAAGAGTGTATTTTTGGATACATCACCATCTCATTTAAAAAGCAAACTTGAGAGATAATGTTATCTATAGAAATATGCAAGTTGTTAACTTAAAAGATAAATCTCAAACACAATTATATGATATGACAGTTAAAGCTCTATATACAGCCTATATTTTTTTTATTTTATAAAACAGTCAATTAAAGGGGCATTGTGGGAGATTAGATAAAGAACTGGCAGTTCTGACTATAATAGTTAAAAACTGGATAATGGGAAGGGAATTTGCTGAAAATTTCAGTCAAATCGATCCACTCTGAACCGAGATATAAGCTTTTGAATTTTAGGCCTAGCCTTGATCATCATTACTAAAGTTGGTACGATAAAAAACATAGTCTTGATTATCAATTTTTTGATTTAATCATCAATGAAAGTTGAACAGCAGATCGAATTCAAATCCAGTAAATATCGCAGGCTAGTGATGACATCAAGGGTTGATTGTGGTCTGGATAAATTAATCATTGTCTAATTAATAATTTAGATAACATTTCAGGCCTAAAGAAAGACCAGGAATAGGCAGATTTAGCTTTTGCATAATGTATGTTTAAGACCAAAAAAGTTATGCGATTAAACACTACTAATCAACAAAGCATCTGTTTTTCTTGAGTTCCGGCGATCCCTCACTTATGTGATCTATAGAAATACCCATTATTTACTCATTCAACAAAATATTGTACCATCTTACTTGAAAACACATGAAATAATAGATCTAATTATCAGGAGAGATCTCAGATTTCAGCGCCACGGGCGGGGTTTCACCTCTCTATGTTCATAGTCTTTAGAACCAATCAACAGTGAGTTTAGGATTTCATCACCATCTGACAGGTTATGTTTATTCAGCTTTTTTTCATATCAATATTTTCATGTCTTATTTAAACCCCATTCCACAACAAATATTTGAGGTCAACTGCGTAAAATATACATAAAGATGAAGTCGGGTATTGGTGAATGATTAGAAAAATTCAGGCAGGAAATTACTGCCAATGGTCTGTCATTAATTATAATGCTGCAATAAATTAACGCTACCACACATAGATCAACTATTGGAAGAAATAAGTTACCCTTTATTAAAGTCAAATTTTCAGTCCTTGACCATCAATAGCAAGTTCCATTATTGTTAATTATAAATACACAATAAATTACATCGATTCAGAAACAGAGAGATTGAAACTGGGTTTATGGTCCACTCGACACAAAGGTCTTTTCAGATTCATATATGGTTTAATTTTATTTCAATAATTAGCTTGTGCGTAGGGGTCTTTAACAGTGGGAGGAATCCGGGGGGACCTATAGAAAACCCACGAGGTTGGACAGACGACCCTAATCCTTGTCATGTACAAGTGAGCAATCAAAACCATGTCACTTGACTCAATGATAGACCTTATGATTCAACGTGCACACGTTAACCATTCGGCCACCCAATCCACAACATCCCCTCCTCCCCCCTCTCGGATTCAGAAACAAGACATAAAGTTTATTTTAATTTGTTTCTAGTTATTGTTGTTTTAAACAATATTTTATTCCCAGTACGACATAAGTAGATACAATACTGATATAATGGATTTGAAAACAAGCCAAAGCGTATATAAATTCATCTCCATTTATTGTTGTTTTACTTTCAATCAAATAACAATGACCGGTCAAATAAAATAATAATGACTGACCAATTCAACAAAGAATGTATATTTATTAAGTCAGTCCATTAGCAATAACCATTATCCATATGTCTATATCAGGATATGATAAATAAATGTATTTATATCTAATGATTCATTAACTAATTAATCTAATTAAATAATTAGCGTAAATTATTATATGGGGTCAGTCTGTCCATTCTGTATAATCTCTCTCACAGTCAGTAAAAATAACACATATATAAATGAAATGAAATGTGGTTTTATTGTCCTCCAGTTCTGCTCTGACTAGGCTAATGAAGACGAGAACACATCCATTGACCTTATAATGTATTATGTATTATAAAGCCCATGATATAACAAATCAGATGAAGTGTGGCCCACCCCCACCCTTTATGTTCCATGCGTCAAACATTATCGTACAACTTCAGGCGTGCCATATAACTTCAAAATGATTAAATTAAGCAATAATGTTAACAGAGAAAAGAAAGTTATTCACCTTAATCCTTGTGGTCGATAACCCTCCACTGAAATACTCTGTGATACTATTTTTTCAGTAATATTACAGACAAAAAAAAAGAATTTACAGACAAAAAAACGAATTGATTAAATTCCGTTATTTTTCAAATTCCTTTAAAAATTAAATTCCTTTATTAATTTAATTCCCTCATTTATACAACACCATGTCAGTTTCATTCATCCTTTCATTCATTTAACCATGTAATAGATTCATTTATTAAATTCCATCATTTATTAAGTTCCTTTCTTATTAAATTCCTTCATTTTATGAATTCCTTCTTTTATGAATTCCTTCATTTTAAAAATTCCTTCATTTTATGAATTCCTTAATCTTAAAAATTCCTTCATTTTAAAAATTCCTTCATTTTATGAATTCCTTCATTTTCAAATTCCTTCATTTTTAAATTCCTTCATTTTATAATTTCGTCATTTATTTATACATTCATTCATTTCAGTTGAGTTCATCCTTTCATCTATTAATTCATTTATCCATTTATTAAAATCCTTCAAATATTCATACACCACTCATTTCATTTAAATTTATGATAATCCGTTTATTTTCTATTTGCCCTACCAGTTATCAATTTCTTGTATAAGAAAACATCAATTATTACAGGTAAGTCATTTATGGGTATTTCACTTTGATGAAATATGTAAAATTGTATATCATAGTGTGCTGATAGAAATATACAACACAGTTGATGGGAATACACATATACATCACAGCAGATGAATGTATATTGGTTTTCATAATTAACACTTTACATGGAGTGATTTGTATGTGTTAATTTATCAGATTTATGGAGGAATGTTGGATATAGTATATGTATATTTATTGTATATACTATATGTATATTTGTTGTATATGTATATGGATACACTTGTTGTATATGTATATGTTGTAGTATATGTATATTTGTTGTATATAGTATATGGATATATATTTGTTGTACACCTGTTGTGTATAGTATGGGTATATATTTGTTGTATATAGTGTATGTATACATGCTGTATATGTATATTTGTTGTATATTGTATATTTAACTTGATGTATATCGTATATTTAACTTGTTGTATATAATTATTTAACTTGTTGCATATAAATATTTAACTTGTTGCATATATTATATGGATGTATATTCTTTAAATGGCATTTAGTAATTGGAACATAATCAAATAACACACTATTTATGGATAACAATTACTGTGGTTTATTTCACTGCGACATTTCAAAAAGATTGATAACGACTTGTGAAATCTTGTTGAAACGTCGCAGTGAAATAAACCACAGTAATTGTTATCCATAAATAGTGTGTTATTTGATTATATGGATGTATATTTGTTGTATGTTTGTATATGTATGTACACTTGTTGTATATGTATACACTTATTGTGTATAGTATATTGTTGTATGTAGTATATGTGTATACTTATGTTGTATGAATAAAGTGTATGAATATGCACTTGTACACAGTTGGACATTTCACACCAACTAAAACCAGTGGCGTGTTGAGGTTTGGTGAAGCCCAGGGTCCCAATAATTTTATGTCCTCAAGTCATAGGGCCTAGTACTCAGAAATATGTAAATGTAAGACATTTGAAATATGTCAAACAATTTTTTTCAAATGAACTATTATCAAAATAAATTTCACTCTTTGATTGGATGTTCCCTGAAATGGATGCCAAGACCATCATCCGCGCTGTCGCCCCCCCCTCCACCCCAACCTCACTGCCAACCACTGAGTAAATCTGCTTAAAAGGTAAATATAATACACTTACCTGTTTTTGATGCAGACTTGACATTTATCTTGCGGTCTGTGTTTTTGTTTGCCTGTGGAGTAATATTTATGTTGGTTGTGGATGACGTTTGGTTGTCTGATAGTTTCTTCTGTGTTTCATTCGATACGCCTCCCTGTTGACCGAACCAACTATGACGGTTTTCGGGGTTTTTATTTTCTATTTGTCTGTTCACAACCATATTGTTGACTGTCACTCCATTTGTTTTTTTAGAACTATCTCCAAAAGACACATTTAAGGTTGTTTTCACAGGTGAATCACTTGTATTCAAATTAAGGTTCTGTACACTATGAGCTTTCTGCACCATATTATTAACACTTTGTCCCTGTGGAGTTGTCTCCCTTGCATCAACAACTGAAACCGGTCTGACATTGGCTACATTTTTATTTCCTCTGATATTCAATGGCTGTGACACGACACCACGTTGCTTTGATTCCAAGTCTCCATTTTGTAGTGAACTTTGAACTCCATTGACCTTTTGAGGGGTAGAGAGAGTTTGTGATGACATTGACAAATTACGATTCAATAAAACACTAGCACGATTAGGGCGAGGGGGTGCATTGGGTTGCTTAGAACTACCAAAACTCTGGGCCAATCGTCTAACATTCGGTAAATTTTGAAGGTCTTGATTATCTTTACTCCCCTCATTATTCGTATCGGATTTGATTGGCGCGTTTGAAATATCTGAACTTGAGGAAGTAATTTTTGCATAATTTGACCCTATACTTATAGACGTTTTCATGTTTTCTGGATGCAAATTAACGGAAACGGTTTTCTTCTCAACTGAAGGCTGTCTGGAATTGACAGAAATTTTTGTGGAGTTTCGCGGAACATCCGACGAAGACTGTGAAATTAGGCTTGATTTTTCATAAATATCTGAGGTACTGTGTGAAATTTGGTTGGGATATGTTGACATAGAAGAAAAACTTTGTGAACTTAAGTTTGGATTTTTTGAATTCTGAATCCGAATTATGTTACTAGTAGAATTGTTCCAGGTTTTGGGGGAGGAAGTGTGATTGTTGGAAGTATTTATGGGAATTCGGTTAATATTTTGGTTGGAACCGGTGTGTAGGATAACAGGAGTGGACGGTTCCAAGGGAGGATCTTGGGGAATATACATCGATTTACTTCGTTGGACAATTTTTGTGGATGAGGCATTATCTCCTTTCGTGCTGTTACGTCTTCTAAGGATAACTCCATCTTTACCTTGTTGGAGGTTTTGCTAAATAACGAAAAAAGAAAGCGGAGAGGTGTGAGGGATTAAAAAAAAGCAACTAAAAATATAATAAAAAATACTGTACCAAGTTTTTAAAACTCACATATAGTTTTTATTCCTTTTCAGTTTTAGTAATGAAATTTTCCAATTATTATTTATTGCCTGACTTCAATTTCAATAGAAAAATCCTGGTCGCTGTCAACCATTACTTCTAATATGCATACTTAATAAGAATTGTGATTATTTGGTTGATTCAACGATGGATCAATTATCAAAAATGGCGGGAAATCCTTGCTAATTCTTTAACATAAGTTACAATTTCATATTTTTAAGTTATATTTTTAAAATGTATTAAAATAAAGCCCTAAAATAGATGGTATCTATAAACAGTCCTGCCTTGTTAAGGAATAATCCTATTCATCCTATAATTCACTATTGCCAGTTGAGAAATTGGCAAAAATATCATTTTCAACTTTAAATTCAAACATTTGAAGATAGCTATTCCATGGTGGAAAATAGGAAAACAAGGGAGGTAATTGTGTTATTATTTCCGGTGTGAAGATTTTTAAGTGTGAGAGAGATAACCTATGATCGTATAATAGCGAGTTGACAACCTATTGAGCAAAAGACATAGAAATAATTATGTTTTGACTTTCTTAGAAAATATGAAATTGTAACTTTAACATATTATTACATCATGCAGCAAAGTTAAGGAAACAGTATTATTTATGATAATGTTCATTTATTCATATTTTTTTTTTTTGCTATTTGGTACAGTATTTTCCTTGAAAGCAAATAAACAGAACAAAAGAAACAGGCATGTAACACATTTTAAAAGCAAATTCACAATGCACACTGAATAAAGCAAACCGATTTAAGCCAAACGTCTTGAATGAAAACAAAAACCCACACATTATCTAAATAAACTCTATATTAATGCAAAAAACTAAAATTCGTAATAAAAATAATAATTTGAAAAATAAAATTTATATTGACATAAAAATGTGAAGAAGTAAAGGGCAGAACCTACAAATCTAATTTTGTAAAACTAGCAAAACTGAAAATATTTTTTCGAAAAAAAGTAAATCTAATCTTGAAACTAAATATAGATCTAAACAAAAAAGTGGGGAAGGGGAGATAAAAAAAACATTTTTTGGAAAAAAACAAGCAATTCTCACCTTTTTCTTCGTTAGTAAATTAAATTAAAATAAAATATTTATGTGAAATGAGGAAATTCGATAAAATCGTCCCCTTTCTCTCGACATAGAACTTTTTAACTGACCATGTTTCTAGGCTATTCATTGTACATTGTTAGTAAATAATGATCATGGACCTTATTCAAGTAAACTTAAACAGAATGCTGACTTTTCATTGGCCAAGAGCTAAAATCTGGGAATTGATATTAGTACTCAGCCAATAAAGCATCAGTATTCTTAAAATGATTTAGTTGAAGTTTTCATGAATAGGACCCCATATTAAATAAATAAAAGTCTTTAAATATTGTTTCATTAATTCAGTTCTCATATAAAAGATTTATATGTAGATCACAAAGCCTGGAAATAAGGAAATAGGACACTATTCTATGACACAGCATTGCATATGACACGAATTCATAGCATAACAATGCACATGACACTTTTTGATGGCACAGCAGTGCACATGACACTATTTGATGGCACAGCAATGCACATGATACTATTTGATGGCACAGCAATGCACAGGACATTGCTCTATGACAGAGCAATGCACATGGCACTATTTTATGGCACAGCACAGGACACTATTCTATGGCATAGCAATGCACAGAACACAAGACACTATTCTATGACACAGCAATGCACAGGACACTACTTTATGGCACAGCAATTTACATGACACTATTCTATGACACAGCAATGCACACAACACTATTCAATGCACAGCAAGTCAACAAACTATCAATTATTAAATAACACGGCACAAGCAAAGTGAAAATAGCAGCTAAAAAAATTTTATTTTAGTCATTGGCAAAAATATTAGTAGTTTTCCAGGAATTGCTTAAAAAGAATTGTTGAAACTCACATAAACTATTTGTTTTGAGCCAAGATTTAATATTTCAAGCTAAAAAATCTATTCACTTTACAGGACAAACTAAAAATCGAGAAATGGTCTTAAAAGGGTGTATAGCTCGATTCTTTGAAACCTTCAAACAGACGAAAATGGGTCGAAAAGAACATATAAATGTAACATGAATGTTTATAAACTGATTTACATTCAATTTAAAAAAAAAAAGGAATTTCTAATGGGTTATGTTTTGTGAATTATGTGAGCAGTCCAAATTGAATGGCAGTCGTTTGCGTCTGGTTATTCCACTCTCCAAGTTTATCTCTTTTCCTTTTTGGATTAGCCATTTGTAATTACTTCCACTTGTGGGATTTGTTTTGCATTGATCAAGTCGTTTCATTACAAATGGTACTCAGTACCATAGAGAACCGGACATTGGGAACTGATTGTCTCAAATATTGGATATCATGAGCATAGATTTTCACGGTAAGATCACAATTTTGATTGAAATGGACCAATAATAAATTATAATTCGTGTTTTTACTTTCAAATGTTATGGATAATATTCAGTTAGAGCTGTATGCCCTTTGATGTCATTGTCTTATTGCATCAAGTTATACAAATGAAATGAAATGGAGTTTAACATCCTGCCGTTCTGCTCCTATACTGGGCTAATGAAGACGGCCATACAGTGTGCTATGAGGGAAATTTTGCCCAGACAGCGGCACTAGGGCATACTCTTATATCGAATTCCAACTGTCGAGGGGAGGGGAGAGAGAGAGAGAGAGAGAGAGAGAGAGAGAGAGAGATGGGGTTTAACGTCCACTCAACACAAACTAGTCATTTTGGGACTAACATATGGTTTGAATTTTATTTCAATAATTCGCGTGCGCGTAGGGGTCTTTAGCAAAGGGAGAAAACCGGAGGACCCGGAGAAACCCCACGAGGTTGGAAACTGTCAAGGGATCTTTTACGTGCACGCCAATCCCAATGTGTACATGGGACCTCGTTTTTCATCCCATCCGAACGACTAGACAGCTGTCCTTGTCAGGCCCTCCGTCCATCATCACTGACAAGGGGAACCATGCTGGAAAATTTGGATGAACTTTCTTGGCCAATGCAGGGATCGAACACCCGACCTCCAGGCTATGGAGCCAGCGTCTTACCCACTTAGCCACTGTGATCGCCATCAATTTATACAATTATAGGGGTTCCACGGTGGCTCAGTGAGTAAGACGTTGACTCGCTAATCTGGAGGTCCTGTGTTCAGATGGAATAAAAAACCGAGGTGCCTTGTACACATTGGCATGTATGTAAAAGATCCCTTGGCAGTTGGAATTTGATACAAGAGTAGGCCGTAGTGCCGCTGTCTGGGCAAAATTTCCCTTATATTACACTGTATGGCGCATGCCTGTCTTTATTAGCCCAGGCATAGGCATATATATATAGTAGGCATATTTGAACTTATAGAAATGGAGATAAGAGAATTAAGTCTCAAAAAATATCTGTATTTGTCAGTTTAACAAATTTGTCAGTTTCGTTCAAATGAATAACCCTTGGATAGATCTCCACCCACAAGGGTAAGAAAATGTTGACATATTTCAGTTTAACATTTAATTTATCATTTTTTGTCACCCAAAATTCATAACCTTACCCCAAATCTAATAACCTTTTAACCCAATATGTTTATCTATATTACATAATCTTACATATCAATTTGTCCTATATTTGTCTATCTTACATAGTCTTCCATAGCAATTTGTCCTATATTTGTTGTTAATACTCTAAGGATAATAAATTTTTTTATTCAAATTATTCTACATGTATATTATAAAAATATCCTGTAATATATCAAAATATTCATGAATATGTAATAAAATATATATAAATTGTAGATTTATTTAAATCAGACAACTTGATCTATATACATGTGTACTTAATAACTTTATTTCAAAAGGTTTCTAACACATAGCCGTGAAATATTTTTACTTTATATTTTCATGGCTGGCTAACTGAAATCAAAGTAGTATGTAATTTCAACCTAATGTTATTTTTTTTCCAACTACGAAAATGATTTTTTACACAACAAATTATCAATAAGTCATATGTCATATTCGAGATTGTTACCATGGGGCAACCTTATATAGGTCATTTTGGGACTAACATATGGTTTAATTTTATTTCAAGGCACACAATAATGTTCAATCCAGCGCCCTAAAACAATGACTTTAAAATGTATGATTCTTAAGTGAGAGAGAAATGGGGTTTAACGTCTGCTCAACACAAACCAGGTAATTTCGGGACTAACACATGGTTCAATAATTCGCTTGCGCGTAGGGGTCTTTAGCAGTGGGAGGAAACCCGGAGGACCCAGACAAAACCTATGAGGTTAGACAGGCGACCCTACTCCTTGTCACGTACAACCAGGGAATCGAAACCACGCCAGTTGACTCAATGACAGACCTTATGATATAGAGCGCATGCACTAACCATTCAGCCATCCAACCCCCCTGATTCTTAAGGATCTCAGACAAAACTTTTTTTTATCATATTTACCTGAGCGAAACATTTCATGCTTCTATTCATCAGGCTGGTTAATCTCGTCTGTGATGACATCAAGTCTTTTGATATTTGTTTGTACTGTCGAGAATTTTTATCTTTAAAACCCTTCAGTTCTTCAGACATAGAATTAAAATTTTCCTGTTCTTTGGCCATCTCTTTCTGGAGTCCAGTTATCATATCCATTAAGTTCTGAAATATAGAACGATTCTGTCAATTCCTTTCAAGTGTTATTAATAAAATACAGACTTACATTGAACAAGATATAAACTCTGCTTCCAGCCTTTGATCCCGGCTGTTGTCTTTTTTTCAGAGCAACCGGAGAGATCAGGCCTTTTCCAATTCTAAGTTAGCGCTAAGAGTTACCTGCCCCTATCTTTAGCGCATAATATGTGTCCAAATGGGGGTGTTGATATTTCCACAACTTCTAAATGACCTGAAAATAGTATCTCCATTGATCCTTGACCTTGGAGTCTCATTCTATCAATTAATTCAGCAACTATAATCCAAGTCTACTTTCTATTTCCGGGGGATTGGATGGCCGAATGGTTAGCACGCGCACGCTGTATCATACAGTCTGTCATTGAGTCAACTGGCAGGGTTTTGATTCCCTGGTTGTACGTGACAAGGAGTAGGGTCGCCTGTCCAACCTCGTGGGTTTTCTCCGGCTTCTCTGGTTTCCTCCCACTGATAAAGTCCCCTACGCGCAAGGGAATTATTGAAAAAAAAAATTAAACCATATGTTAGTCCCGAAATGACCTAGTTTGTGTCGAGTGGACGTTAAACCCCATTTCTCTCTCTCCAAGTCTACTTTGTATCTCAAAAGATAATTGTCATGCACAAGGTAGGATATGCTTAATATGTCAATCTGATTAAACACAAATCCTATTTCGTTTCTTATAGTTAAAAATTTCATTTTACTTGTCTTTACTACACTAGGATCTGGAAGAGTTGTTATATAACCTGCGTTCCTATTGATGTAAGGGATTAGCCAATGAAACGGTCTGTTACGGTGAGTTTTTAGCATGTGTTGCATGGAACTGTGGGTAATCCACTAGAGACATCAACACTCATTGGTTAATCAAATGTCTAACGTCATAGGGTCAAAAGCCGCTTGTATGACCTCTGACATGACCTCCCGTTACAACTGGTCAGAACGAAAGTATAAAAAAAAAAAAACGAAATATAGATCTGTATTTTAATCAGATTGCTTAAACATATATCATAAAAATCAAAATCCGCAGAAATGCACCCTCGACCAAAATAGAATAATATTCTAAATGCTTTTCTACAATTTACATTTATTATCTTATTTTCTTTTAAAAATAATTCTCCAGTTTCTACCTCAGAAATTCAAGTAAGGCTATTTGCTTCCTTATAAGAATGGAGAAAGAAGCAATGTTAGACAAAGGACGAATAGAATTGTCTGGTGGTTTTGGTTAGGGCTAGGGTTGGATTATGGATTAAGACGGTAAAATAGCCCACGAGTTGATAGAGCCCTCATCATTGCCAAAGCGAAAACTGCTAAGTCCGGGAATCAGACAACAGCGCATGTCAAACGGAAGTGATGGCTAAATAGTAAATAAAGTAAAGAACCGTCGGACGCCAAAATATACACTGCCTTTCTTAAAATTATTAATTAGACATTAAATAACTGATCCAGGCCATAATTAACTTTCGATGGCATCGGATTTCTCCGATATTAAATAGATTAGATTTAATCTAAAAATGGAGGAGCGAGACTTAGCTTCGAACAACCAGTACGGTGGTTGGAATTAATGCACATGTTTTGTCAAACCTTCAAAGGCTAATATCTTCGCTCACAATTGAGTAATTTGAATGAAATTTTCAAATTATTCATTTTACATTATCTTTTTTCGAACTATTATAGCCAGAATGGCTAGCTTTTTATCTAAATTTTACATAATGTATCTTTAATATTTCTTTCTAGAGAACATAGGTACCTCATATAGCTCACGAATAATTAGTTTACTTTTTAGTAGAGGGACAATCAATAATATTTTTGTTTATCTGAATTTAGTTTAAGCCTTGTTTGTAATCAAGGTTTTTACATCTGTTACATGTGTACATATTGTTCCATTTTTGTACAGTTTGTTCTGAGGTGAAAAAGTCAATGATATTTGAGTCATCAGAGTAGTAAAATGGTTGTATAAATCCTTTCAACTGAGCAGGTTACTAAGTAATTTGGTGTACTTGCAAATTGTTAAATAGAACTGGTCCCATTACCAATCCATGGGGTACACCATAGGTAGGGGGAATTCTGACAGGACAAAGATTTTTTGTCACAACTGCCTATGTTTTACCCATAAGATATGATAAAACATATTTAAAGTAAAGCCACTGACAAAATCATAGGATTCCAGTCTTAGGAGTATTTCACTATCATCCAGTCTGTATCAAAGGGAAATGAAATAAGATTGAACCTGGGACCTCTGAGTGTGTGAGGAGGCATCTTACTCACTGAGAAACTGCAGCTACAGTACATGTATATCAAAAGTAGAAGCAAGGCCAACAGACTTTCTCGAAGCCAGCAAATGCAGGTAAATGGGCCAACATTTTACTCCCGGAGTCATTGTGGATCCAGTATATAGAAGGCAGCAGAAAGGTCTGGGATCTCTGGTTGTTTCAGCAAGTGCTTTACCCCTTCTGCCACTGTTGCTCCAGTGTATCAAAAGGGCTCAAACCCATAAACATATTTTTCTAGCTACTCTTCTGTACAATGATACATGTGTATGACATATAACCGTATTTATCATTTCATTTCAGATCTGCAGAGATATGCTGCCAGTGTTGACCAAGAAAGTTCCTCAGGAATTTCCGGCATGGTTTCCCATTGTCAGTGTTGCAGCATGCAGGGCCTACAGTCCATCTGTGCACATAAAAGAACCTTGACAGTTGTAATTCAAAATAAGAGTAGGCGGTTGGGGCAAAATTTCCCTCATGTCCGACAAGAAAATTTTTGAAATAGTAACACTGGCACACTGCATGGCGTAAGCCTGTTATTAATATCCCGGTTGGTGTTAAAAAGTAGGACGTTAAACTGCATTTCATTTCAAATCATTTTAGATCTGCAGGTGTGAAATGTACTTTATTTTCCTAACAACAAGAAGATGATTTGGCACATTTACTAAGAAGACCTTTTTAAAAACAAATATTGGGACAAGTTTTGACCTTCATTGTAACCTTTTATCAAAAGAAACGTTCTTAAAACTGACATAGTCTTGTTTGTCATGTTTTCATCTGTGTCACAGTCGACCAGTTTGTTTACAGGGTCAACATTTAGTCATCTGTAACATGACAATAACATGACAGGTTAAAGAAGAGACCCTGTCTTGTTGATAATTTCCTATTGGTTACACCTTTTTGATTTGAGTCCAAAAAATAATGTTATTGATTTTGTTGGATTTTATATTTAAATTTGATTTGTGGGATGACAGACTGTCTTTGCTGAAAATTCTATGGTTATACACAAATAAAGCCAGTGTTGAGATATGACTGATTTTGCGTTCTCAGTTAAACTAAAATCTGTTTAAATAAAAATCTTTTAAAACATTAATTGAATACAGCTTGTCCCATCAGTAAATGAAATAAAACATTAGATTAACAGATAAAACATTATTATTTCCAGTACCGGTACATAAACTATATTATTCCCAGTTCCCGCACATAAACGATATTATTTCCAGTACATAAACTATATTATTTCCAGTACCGGTACATAAACTATATTACTTCCAGTACCGGTACATAAACTATATTATTTCCAGTACCAGTACATAAACTATATTATTTCCAGTACCCGCACATAAACTATATTATTTCCAGTACTGGTACATAAACTATATTATTTCCAGTACTGGTACATAAACTATATTATTTCCAGTACCCATACATAAACTATATTATTTCCAAATTTATCAATTAAATGATATTAACTTATTGATCAGCGAACTTGGATATCATAAGCAGCAGACAAACTAGGCGAACCAATCAGCAGAGTAGCACTGTCAACTTTGCATTCGCCTAAATGATTCGCTTGAATCTAACCTGTTTGATATTTTCGGCCGGATTTTCATTCACCGCGTTTATATTTGACGGGTGTATCCGGTTCGATGAAGACATCGCCCGATTGTAGAATTCATCAGTCAATCGCTGATAATGAGAACGTTACAAATAAGGCATCTATTATATGGAAACATGGAATTCTGAGAAAGAATCATAGCTTATATGGGAGGTGAGAATTCGTCTGTAGATGCCACCTTATTCTACGCCGCAGCATACTTCATAAAATTAAAAAAATCTATGATTTACGTAAAAGGTGATGTGTTTTCGACTGGTGAATCTAGGGGGTAAATCGCCATGTGTATGGCCACTCAACCCGACAAATGAATTCAACGCCAACTGATTTGGTCAAATGATTCAGGCCCAAATTCACCTAGTGTGTCTGCCGCTTTAATCAAATAATAATACATTACTCATTTCATTAAAATATATATTTACCCTCTGTCCCATGTCTTTAATGGTGGTTTCAAATTCGTCATCTTTTAACTGTAGAAGTTGATTCACCGTTAGAGTAGCTGTTGTGGCCGTCATCTGAAATATCAAACATACAAAAATAAAACAAGACCACAAATTGAGAGAAAATATTTTTTTACCCCAAACTCCCCTCTCCACCCCCCACCCCCATTTCATCTGAATAACACAAAATGCTTTCCCTCACTTCATTTTCTGAATCAGGAACTGGTTTTATACATTTGGTAATCAAATAATATCTTTTATAGAATTGCTGAATTGTTTGTTTTTCACCCAATCAATATTCATCCATTCATTCATTCATTCATGACCTGCAGATCTCTTTTTATGTTTGTTGAAATCCCTCATTAATTACTAATTAGACATAGACCTGAAATGTTATCTAAATTATTAATTAGACATTAATTAACGTATCCAGACCATAATCAGCGTATTCTATTTATGTTATCTATTTTTAACTATTATAGCGAGAACTGTCAACAGTTTATCTGATCTCCCATAATGACCCTTTAAGCTATCAATCTACAACGACGGACAATCAACTGCTGAAAGATCAATGAGTATAATTACTGTCTAGTTGTGTTCAATTTTATTGTAACTCCTTTAACATGTTTTCCAGTATGAAATAGTTTCAAGAACAATAACTCAGACGTTACTGTTTATGTGATTTGATGTTTTCGGGTATTAAAAAATTTCAAGGATAATTCCTGTGCGTATTTTTAAATGAAAGTTTCTCACTTCTACACAGGCAATCATTTGAAGAATTCATTAACTCTTTTTGTTGAGAGAGAAAGCAAACTGTTTAAAATGTAAATTTTTCTTCCATTGCCCTTTTGAAAGGAATCTGATAATGCTACAACTGCTTTGAAGTAAAGAGTAAACTTTAGTGTGGGTGGTTAAAATTAGACGACCGCCGAAAACCTTGAAGTGTCTTTACGCGTCCATCACATGTCAACAACCGAGTCACTATACAAACCTTATTCCATCGCAACGAATAACATTTGTGTAATGTCAGGTTTTGTTTATCTTAGAGAAATCCTATAAATAAATTAGTAATTTGACATTTAAATGACGAAACCTGATGAGATCAAGACGCGTCTTTGTAGCATCGTTTTATTTTTTATGCTGTGATTCGCTTTATCTTCATTAATCAACAGCTTAAGGCAGCCGATCCTCCTTTACATTTTTCCATGCTAAAATGTACTAAAATTGTTACATGTTAGTCTCGAAATAACCTGGGTTGTGTTGAGGGCTAATGAAGATGGATATACTCTCTCTCTCTCTCCATCTCTCTCGTACAAATACATGCTGTCACATGGTGTTCAAGTACTTGTAATACCATAATATATTGTCACTTGTAGTCCCCAGGGTCGCCTGTCCAACCTCGTGGGTTTTCTCCGGGTCCTCCGGTTTCCTCCCACTGCTAAAGACCCCTACGCGCAAGCGAATTATGTAAATAAAATTAAACCAAATGTTAGTCCCGAAATGACCTAGTTTGTGTCGAGTGGACGTTAAACCCCATTTCTCTCTCTCTCTCCCCATTACATGTTGTCACATGGTGTTCAAGTGCTTGTAGTTATATGGTGTTCAAATACTTGTAATACCAATACATGTTGTCACATGGTGTTCAAGTGCTTGTAATACCAATACATGTTGTCACATGGTGTTCAAGTGCCTGTAGTACTGATACATATTGTCACATGGTGTTCAAATACTTGTAATACCAATACATATTGTCACATGTTGTTCAAGTACTTGTAATACTAATACATGTTAAGCCTCAACAATTACAATGTTTGTTCTTCAGGACAAGACTTTGCTCTTTACAAAAATGTAATTGGTTGTTCACTTCAAATGCTTTTAGTTCCAATTTCTGTTTTGAAATTCTAAATGAAAAATTGTTCACAAGTCACGAGTAGCTAAGCATTTATCTAGAAAATTTAAAAATTAAATTGGTTTGACAAAAAGATGAAAAAATAATAGGTTAAGAAACCAGGACATATTAAAATAAAAAGATACTTGCACTATGAACTCATTTCCCTGTTTATTATACAAGGTGTATCTAATACCCTCATGTTTTAACCTGTTTATTATACAAGTTTATTATCTAATAAAATAAATCACGTTTTAATAACATAACACAGTTACACAATTATTATCTTAATTAAAGGGTGTGTGGCTTTATTTTATGGAACTTTAAAGTCAACGATAATGTGTCAAAAAGTACATGTTAATGTAATGTAAAAGTGTGAAAGTGATTTATATTTAACATAACACAGTTACACAATTATTATCCTTATTAAAGGGCGTATGGCTTTATTTTTTGGAACTTTAAAATTTACGATAATGTGTCAAAGAGTACATGCTAATGTGAATGTATGAAAGTGATTTATATTTAATTTCTAAAATAATTTATTGTAATTTTTCATCAAGTACATGTGCGGTGAAATACATGAACAGTCAAAATTGAACGACAGTCGTTTACGTCTACTTAGTGGATTCTACACATTTTTTTATCATTATTTTCTTGTTTGTGAATCAATCATTACTAATTACTGTCGCATTGTCTTGTATCTTAAACATTGGATATTAGGATCCCATATTTTCACGACAAGATAATAACATCAATACTGATTGAAATGAAATGAAATGAAATGAAATGGAGTTTAACATCCTACTGTTCTGCTCCTAACCTGGGCTAATAAAGACGGGCATACGCCATACAGTGTGCTATGAGGGAAATTTTGCCCAGACAGCGGCACTGCAGCCTACTCTTATTTTGAATTCCAACTGCCAAGGGATCTTTTACGTGCATGCCAATGTGTACACAGGACCTCGGTTTTTCGTCCCATCCGAACAACTAGACAGCTGTCCTTGTCAGGCCCTCCGTCGTGCATCACTGACAAGGGGAAACCACGCCGGAAAATCTGGATGAACTTTCTCGGCCAATGCAGGGATCGAACACCCTACCTCCAGGCTAGCGAGCCAGCGCCTTACCCACTTAGCCACCGTGATCCCCAATTTTGAATGGAAGTCGAACAGGAAATTCGGAACTAATCCAATAAACATCGCAGGCTAGCGATGCCATCAAGAGTTGATTATGGTCTGGATAAGTTAATTAATGTCTAATTAATAATTTAGATAACATTTCAGGCCTAAAGAAAGACCTGAAATAGACAGATTTAGCTCTTGTATAATGTATGTTTAAATATTTGTTATACAAGTTATATATCTAATAAAATAAATCACGTTTTAATCTGATGTAACTCAATCTAATAAAAACAATCCATAATTTTGTTTATCAATTTCTAAATGTTTATTATGCAAGATTCAACTTCTGTCCAGTCAAGAGAGAGGGAGAGGGAGAGAGAGAGAGAGAGAGAGAGAGAGAGAGAGAGATGGGGTTTAACGTCCACTCAACACAAACTAGGTCATTTTGGGACTAACATATGGTTTAATTTTATTTCAATAATTCACTTGCGCATAGGGGTCTTTAGCAGTGGGAGGAAACCGGAGGACCCAGAGAAAACCCACAAGGTTGGACAGGATACTGTCCTGGCAAAATTACGCTCATAGCACACTGTATCACATATGTCGGTCTTCTTTAGCCTGGTTGGCATAGAAAAATAGGATGTTAAACCCAATTTCATTTCACTCATGCATTATTATACCTGTTCATTATCTAACAAAAAAAATCATCTTTTAATCTTATGTACATGTACCTTAATCTGTTAATAACTTATTCTGCAGTGTCATTAGGACTGTCATTAGGACTGTCAGAAAGTAGTATTTGCATAATTTAATGGCCTGACTGATGATAACGACTTTAAAATTCATGGAAGAAAACGATTAAATAACTTTAAAATCTTCATATAGAAACATCTGGACCCGAAACTAATACATATCTATCAAAACTATGTATTAATAATTAATTACACTTTTTATTCTACAGTGTACATTTGAAGACTCTCAAAACTTTCTAATTACAATTACACATGTAATGTATAACTTTAAAATCTCCATAGAGAGAGAGAGAAATGGGGTTTAACATCCACTCAACACAAACTAAATCATTTCGGGACTCACACATGGTTCAATTTTATTTCAATAATTCGCTTGCGCATAGGGGTCTTTAGCAGTGGCAGGAAACCAGAAGACCCAGAGAAAACCCACAAGCTAACCATTCGGCCACCCAACCGACAATTCCCCAATCTTCATAGAAACATCTGGACTCAATACTAGTACATACCTATCTAAACTATGTATTAATAATTAATTACTTTTTGTGTAACAGTGTACTTTAGAAGACTCTCAAAACTTTCTAATTACAAAGGTATCTAATTAATCTGGTGATATTCAAACTAAATGAGCTGGATTATTTCATTAATTATTTATGGCTTCTGTTACAAGATTCTCAGAAGCTAATGTTTCCAAGAAATTAATGCGATCGAAGATAACAGATTTTTAAAACTAGATAAAGAAAGTGACTATATTTAACAACTTTAAAATCGGGATAAAAACATACCTTTAGCCACTGTCCTACTATATAAGCTTATGTCCAGTGTGCTGATGTTGTGAATGTCATTAGATGACCTAGTTCAGGTATATGTAAAGATAAGTATTTACCTGAGCTAAAGGTAAGGAGGTTTGTTACCTGTGAATGTATATACTGTACGACTAACATATAGGTAAAGTAGTGAGGTGTGACAGGAAAAACGGGCAATTATCATAACAAGACTTTTGCTAAATACCTCCACATCGTAGCATACAGACTCCCGTCAAACTTGTTAGACCAATAACTTCATGGTTTACATACTAAATCTAAACATCGGGGTGGAGTTACTTTAAAAACAAAAACAAACTTAAAGAAGGAGAGATGTGAAGATCAGCATCCGCTAATGACATAGGTCATATTGAAACAAAAACACAGTTTCTCCATTCATTATATTTCCTTCAGCACAGAGGTTGGGTAATGGTCATATGGAGTGGTCAAACATGTGTACTGTAGACAATATTCAAATACAAATAGTTTTTCAATCATTATATTCAAACTGAATTTT